TGAAATAAAGTGTATGCTATATTAAATATACTGGACAAAATAATGGAAGCACAAAGCAATATATAAATACTTATTAACTAACAGGGAGTTGGGCCACCTTTTGCCTTTAGAACAATTTCAATCATTCTTGCAATATTGTTACAACGTTTTGAACTGTAGGATACTGGACCCTTTTTCATTAAGGAAAGTCTCCAGTTCATTGAGATATGAGGAAGGTAGAAAACTACTCCACACTCTGCAATCCAGAACTTCCCATAAAGATTCAATGATATTTAGATTTCAAGACTGGGGAGGCCATGAAAGGTGTTTGAGTTCATCCTGGTGTTCATGAAACCTCTCCTGAATCTGTTTAGGACTGTGTATGGAGGTGTTATTTATTTCAATTCAATTCAACTTCAATTCAACTTTATTTATCATTATACTTACGTGCATAGTATAATGAAAAGTGTTTCTCATTAGTCACTCAGGTGCAGCATATAAATAAAATAGAAGATAAGACAATAGACAGTAATATAATAACAACAGTGTAATTACATAACATATAATCAAAACTATGCAAATATGCAAACAGAGAAAGAATACAACAGGACAAAAACAGTGCACAAGTGACTAATACAGTTTTAAGTACAATTTCAGCTTACATTCAGTTGTCGTGTACCGTATGTAGTGGTGTTGGAGTACAGTCATTGTGGGTACCAGCTTGACGGCTCTGGGGGAGAAGCTATTTTGGAGTCTAGTTGTGTGCAACTGGAGTGTCCAGAACCTTCTGCCAGATGGTAGGGGGACAAACAAGTTATGATTTGGGTGAGTGGGGTCAGACATAATTTTGGTGGCTTTTTTCAGACTTCTGGTGTTGTAGATTTCCTGGATGGATGGTAAGGCACTGGCGGTGATGTGTTGGGCAGTTTTGACCACCCGCTGCAGTGCCTTATGGTCGGATGCGGTGCACTTGCCGTACCAGACTGTGATGCAGCTGGTCAGTATGCTCTCCACCATACATCTGTAGAAGTTGGTGAGGATCTGTGGATGCAGGCGTATTTTCTTCAGCCTTCTCAGGAAGTACAGCCGCTGTTGTGCCTTCTTGATGAGACTGGAGGTGTGAGGTCCTTA